AGTGAGATAGTGGTGGTGGCGATGGTTGTGGCGGTGCGGCTCGTCCTCCCTGCTACCGGCGAGATAGTACGCCGGCGGTGCAAATCGGGAGGGAGGGCACGGAGAGCTGTCGGCGGAGAGAATAGAGATCCTTGATCTCCTCCTAGGCGTTGTACGGTAGAGAAGGGCGGGAGAGCGAGGACGCTCGGATGAGAAAGTCGGAGAAGCCGCACACGGTGATACGCGGCGGAGAAGGAGGAGGTAGAGAGGGACACGAGAGAGAGCGGGCGTGTAGGCGGACCGGAGAGTGGAATTCCACGGAGGCGTGTCTTCCCCGGCGCACCAGGTGCGAAGGTGCGCGAACGCGACGTCGCCACGCCTTTTCCACGGGGCCGACGGTGGTCCGCGACCGCACGACGTCGACAGCGCCGACGACCAAGACGACGGGGACGACGGGGACGATGGGGACGACGGGGACGACGAGGACGACGAGGACGACGGCGACGATGTCGGCGTATCAGCGTGTCTTCCTTGTTCAGATACGGAGGCACCACATCTGTCCTGCTCGAACGTCTCACTACGCCTGGAACAACTCGCATCTCTTTCCCCTTCTCCCCTTTCCGCCCAGCGGCATCGCCACATTGCGATCTCGCTTCCTCTTCGCTCCTGTCTTACCCCGCGCCACCCACTCCCTAGCGGGGGTACTCTGTTAACGGACGGGTCGCGTCCGACCTACCACCGCCATCCCCACGTCCAGAATCCAGCTTCTGGTGTCAACGTCCCGGAGTTTCCACGGGCTTTTCTCCTGAATATGCACCTTCCACGCGCGCCGGGTCGCGCGGGGGACAGGGCGAGAGAAATCGGCGATGGACGGGAGCGAGGAGGATGGGGACGGACGGCGCAGCGGGATTCTTTCTGTCTTTCCCGATGCTCGCGACTGGAATGCGGGATGACAGTATTCGCCATCACGTAGCGCGCCCGCGCCTCGGTGCACGGTAAACAGAAATGAGGGAGGTCGCAGACGTGATCGTGATTTTCTCCTCTGCAAAGTGCAGCGGCAGGACCGGGTGGTACTTATTTGATGGGTGGTAGTCGATAAATTGTTTTTCGGCGAAAGGATTCGGGCCCGATGTAGGAGTGGCTAGTTCTTCAACTTTCTATTACTCGCCTTACCAATGTTATTTCCTTCATTTCCCTAGAGATTCTTCTTTAAAAACTAATAAAAAGTAGTAACAGAATATAAATTATGATGAGTAAGTTGACGTAACGTCAAAATATTGTAACGTGCACTACTTCGGCATTGGCGGTTCTATCGAAAAACATTTTATAAAAACTAGTATTCAGCACAAGTGTAACTATAAATATTTCTACTTTTATCAATTTACAGTAAATTTATATTAACCGGAAGAATATACATATATATATATATAAGGCTAAATCTGGCAGTGCTTTTATCACTGGCACTTTAATTTAATACCAAATTCATTTATTTTAATTTATTTCATTTCATAATAAAATGAGAGCCATAAAATTTGTCATATGTATTTCCAAAAACGGCGAAAACTAAATATAATATAGCTAGCTTTGTTACGAAAGTTATTTTATGACATGCGCAAAAATATTCAAATATTTTCCACTTCCAATTTTCAATTTTTTCCAATGAAATCTCTAGAAACAATTAATGTATCAATCGTCACGCGTATTTTTATTGATGTGTGTTTCAAATCTTTGATCGAAATATACAGTTTTTCATATAAACTAATTAGAATAAAATTATTTTAAACATTGCAGTTAACAGTGTTTATCTATGTGAATATATGTGACATTAAATGATCCGCTTAATAAAATAGCGAGATAAAAATATAGAATTGAATAGTTGAACTTTTTCGAGAGTATTTGGTTCAAATATTAGATGGAAGGCGCTCAGACAGGATATTTCATTATAATTCGTATTAATAGGCATGTATGGAGAATGTAATGTATGTTTGAAAGCCGTATTTGAAGCTGCATAAGATTTGAATAGCTCCAGCAGATTCTATTTAAGAAAATATGAGAACTATTACTTATATATGGTTACAAGACTGAATCTTTTTAAAATATTTTCTGAACGCGTATGCTATTTTCTCATAATTCTTAATTATTCTAACTTTGGTGAATGCTTTAAATTTATTACGTTTGAAGGTATATCCACTGCGATAAATTCTGACGAGAATTTTTGTTAACAAAAAAAGTATGAAGAAAAGTTTACATATAACGTTGTACAGATTTGATATATTTGATAACATTGCTATTGTAACAGCGTCATTATTTACATTCCAAAATGCTTCATATATTAAATAATTTTGCAACAATTTTATTATTAATCTTAATACATAAAATATTTTACTCATTTTGAATGAAGTACTTATTTTGAATGAAACTAAAACTGTTATATATTATCATTACGGAGATAAAAATGTAATTAATCGTCTATTCCGAATTGGATGTTTCTAAATTTAAGAATTGTTTTAAGCTAAAAGTGATAATTTAAAGAGAGAAAGTAAAAAAGCAATAACAAATTATGAAATATTTCAAGTTCGAATTTTGTTTTTTCCTGCTAAGCAGAATCGATTTTAAAATTAACATTACAGTTATTGATTATTATCTATGATGGATTGAAAAAACTTTTCTAAATGGTATAAAAAGCAAGCCGGTTTTCTTACGAGCGTACTACACTTGCTTAGAAAGTTAATCAATTTGTTAAAACTTATTGTAAAATGCCAAACGAATTGTAAGAGATATATTCGCCCAAGTTTCTCATGCTCCTGCTTCCTGATCGTATATGCCGAGACGACAAGTTTGATTTCACCTCCGTGCGGTCCACGATGCATCGCACCATATCGCGACATTTCGCATCCTCGTAATCGTCTGTCCTCCGCCGCGGTTATTGCGTTCCTTCGTCGTTTTACCCGGGATCCTTTAGCAACGGATCGGCGATCCCCCCGCGGCTTCTCTCCGCGATCTCCTTGTTACCATCTCCAGCGAGAGACCATCCTCTTCCACCCTGCTGCCTACCTTCCGCCCACCTCCTTCTCTCGCGATTCCATTTCTACGTTGTTGAACTATAACTCTCTCTAGGAAGGCAGTGGCAGCTATTACGCCGGCTCCTAAGCTATTACGGCATCTGGGAGCCTCGTTGGTGCTGCTTCACAGAAACGACGAGGACCAAAGAGGTGGGCACGGGACGAAGAAGGCCGGAGAGGTGAAAGAGACGGGGAAAGAGAGACGGAGGGGTGAGGCGAGAGTCGGGTTAGGTGAAGTGATGTATTGAGATCCCATTGTATCCACGGAATCCCCTAAGATTGCCAAACGACGCCCTCTCCCACCACCAACCCCCGCCCCCGCCCCCGCAACCGCCACCGTCTCCCGCATCCGCTTGCATAATACGTCACCGTAGAAGGCGAATCTCCGACCTACCTCGACGCCAAGTGGAAGGAGGCGTATATTTCTCCTATGCATTCTTTTTTTTCTTGCTCGCTTTTCTCCTGCTCTCGACGTCCTTCGTCCTCCGACGTTCCTCTTCGATTTCTTCTTCGCGGATACGTGCAGTATTTATGTGGAGTGAGAGAAGATGGTTGACACACTGAGAGTTGGGAGAATTTCTCTTTTTCGGGTTTTCTGCTTGTCGTTTTTCTCATTTGCAACATGCAACAATGTTAGATGACAGTAGTGATGTTAAATTTAAGAGATATCAATTTCTTATTTCACTCCTTTTTAACATCAATAGTTTCTTATTTCTTTTCCATCTTCTCCCGATAATCGAAGGTATCGACATAATCACTGAATCGAGATCACAAACAGTAACATACAATAGTGACATGTAATATATGTATATTAAGATTTTTGAGTAGATGGATAGCAACAAAAAATTTTAACAAATCATCTGACTAAATTCAAGCATATAAGAAATCTATAGAAATATTATTTGCTCGTAAAAATAATACATAAATAAAATAACTTTTTTACAAAAAAAAAAAAAAAAAAAAAAAAAAAATTAATGGAAAATACATGCGTAATAAAGTTCGGACAAGCGCAAACGACAAACGAGACGCGGGTATAAGAATGAATACTAAAGTAAAGCGCACATCAGCAAGAAAAGAAAACTCGAACGCGAAAAGCGAATGCGTAATAGGTAGGCGAGATAAGCGCTTGATAAAGATTTGAAACGATTGATAATATGGACTAGAACGAAAAAATTTGAACATTGAAGATGATCGGATAAAACGACCGAATGTTTGTACAAATGTCAAATGAATATTGTTAAACACAAGCATTACAGCATGAAAAATTTGTATTAGCCTAATGATTTATTTGATCAAATGTTATTATTGAATCATTAAGGCTTTGTAAAGT